CTCATTTTTGTTAAGAGGCTGAAAAGTAACTTTCTAGAGCATAGACTACCTCCATCTAGTAATGTCGGTCTATTGATTTTGATGTATTGATTGAAAATTGTTCATTATTACCTTGGTTAATTAACATCTAATGTTAACTGTACTACATTCTATAGCAGTAGGGTAAAATGCTTGTCTTTGTTCAAAAGACTGTATTAACTGTAAAGACTGTCTTTTACATCAGCCTGTTTTCAGGGCCTTTTTTTTTGGCTACATATTTGTTATTTTTTGCTACATGCCTCCCCATCTTCTTGCCATATGTTTCTATGGCATAAATCAGTATCTGTGACCTGTTTTCATTTAAAAAAAAGAACATTGGCACAAACCTAGCCTGTATGTATTTTTTGTATGTCATCGAGAGTATTTAAATGATTTTCAATCAGGAAAAAAATTTGCGATTAAAATGCGATTAATCGCGAGTTAACTTAGGCATTGATGCGATTAATCGCGATTAAAAAAATTTAATCGATTGACAGCACTAATATATATATATCTTGCCCATAGACAGCTGGAGATAGGCACCAGCACCCCTCCCAACCCTACTTGGGATTAAGCGTGTCAGAAATGGATGGATGGGTGGAGATTAAATTAGAGTTACTCAGTCCTGTATAAACCCTGTAGAAAATGTAACTTTCAAAAACAGTCTAAGCTGAAATAAGGAGAATTTGAAACTCAGATTCAGCCGTTATACGGTCCAAAATACGAGGCCAAAGTTGCTACAGCCAGCATTCCATCATTCTGTTCTAAATATGAAAAGTCAAGTATTATTTGTTCTCTATATCTGTAAAGTCTTTTCTTAGTCCCATTTCATCTGCCATCATCTTGTATTTACAGTCTGGCAATGTAAAAGCATCTCTTCCTTCAGGAGAAAAAAAAATGACAGCCGTTCCTCACTCTCCTAAAACCTGCAGGCTTTAGTCAGGAAAGCTTTTTTTTATTCTATTGTCTCTGCAGTGTCTCCAGGAGAGAAAAACTGTTTTTTTTTTCCTCTCCTTCTTTCTGTCTCTGGGTTTAATGTCTAATCCCTCCTTCAGAGGCAGAACGGATGCACGGATTCCACCGAGGCTGCGGCAGCTGCAACTTCCTCTTTCTGCACATTAGACTCACAAATCGACCGTCGAACAGTCTCAAAGGCCTTGTGTGGGAGGCAGAAACACAAAATGAGGAAAACAATGGAAATGTTCGGCAGCACACAGAGAAGCTCTGCAGAATGTAGCAGGACCTGTTTCTGTTTTCAGTGTCTATTTAGGCTGAAGTGTTTCTCTAAAGGAGAAGAATCTGATGCAGAATAATGAACAGACTATAGATGGCCTGGGAAGCTTTTATGAACTATCTGATTTCAAGTTATTTAAGTTTCTGCTCCTCTATTAAAACAATAAAATATTTAAATTGGGCCATTTGATGCTACAGAAGCTTTTTTACCTCTTATAGAAACACAATCTACTCATTATTTGAGTTTAATGAAGCTTTAGCATCTGCTGAGACATCAAATAAGAGCCTGCTTAGGTCATTTCTAAGGAATATCGGTTCAGTTACAGCGCCACAAACGTAAAAAAAGCTTTCCGTATTCAGACATTTTTAATATGATCTTTGTTTTTTTTAATCTGAAAGAGATTCCGTCTCCATTTTTCAGACAAATGGTCTGCTGATGTTGCTGTTGTCTGCTATTAAAGGAAACAGCATTAAGATGTCAGGTTGCTGTCTGAAAAAGACCAAATGAGGAATCAGCTGATTGAGAAACGGATTCATGAATAACCTATGATGCTGATCTTAATTTGTTCTCCCTCTGTGAAGTCAAATATTAAGGCTATTTTTTGTTCTTTTTAGTTTTGCTTCACTCAGCACTATTTACTGTTTGTCATCAGTAATGAGTCTGCATCATCAGGGCGGCTTCGAATAACTTCCTTAAAAATATAACGTTTGTGTTTTTATCTGTTAAATCAAATGATAATCAAGTAACATCTGAAATATTGCATGCAATAGAATAAAAATGCCTGTGGAAATGTTCAGTCATTGGGGTCATAACAACCACAAACAGGCTTAAAATGGAAGGCAAACTGGCTTTGGTCAAGTGTTTGAAAACTCCTCAATACCCATATAACTCAAATAAAAGCCTAAAATGTAAATGTTTACATGGATGCCAAAAGTCTGCATTAAAGGAATAGAACACCCAAAACATGATTAGCCTTCATTTTCTACTCACCCCCATGCTGAACAACACTCTGGAGTACTTTTTTGATATCTCAAATGCATCTGGAGATCTGGGAGGCTTCTTGCTGTCTGCTGACATTCAAATAATGGAGGTCTATGGCGCCCGAGACAGAAAGGTCCATAAAAGTCCACAAAAACGTGTCAATATTCCTCCATACTGCTCGTCCAATGTAATCCAAGTGTCCTGAGTTGGTAGCGTCCATAATTTACTCGAAACGAAGTCATTTAGAATGTTTTTAGAGCATAAACAGTAGTGTATAGGATTTCCTAATAGCGCGTTCATGACGCTACGGAAGCCGGCAGACCAAACCAGATGAAAGTGCGCATTCAGCGTCTGCTCTGCCAATAATGCAAGCGTAGAAGAAGAAATGTGCTGTTTACCTGTGCAAAGAAAGAAACAACGAAAGAAAAATGTCTGAGGACTTCAATGTTGAGGAAGAGCATGAGTTCTTTGCCGAGCTGAATGCGCTGGTTTGGTCTGCCGGCTTCCGTAGCGTCATGAACGCGCCGGCGCGCGCTTTCAGGAAATCCTATACACTACTGTTTATGCTCTAAAAACATTCTAAATGACTTCGTTTCGAGTAAATTCTGGATGCTACCCACTCAGGACACTTGGAATACATTGGACGACCAGTATGGAGGAATATTGACACGTTTTTTGTGGACTTTTATGGACCTTTCTGTCTCGGTCACCATAGACCTCCATTATTTGAATGTCAGCAGACAGCAAGAAGCCTCCCAGATCTCCAGATGCATTTGAGATATCAAAAAAGTACTCCAGAGTGTTGTTCAGCATGGAGGTGAGTAGAAAATGAAGGCTAATCATGTTTTGGGTGTACTATTCCTTTAAGACCTGATAACTGTGGAGTTATTCCTGTGAATTTGTTGTATATTTTAAAGCAGAAATTAATCATAAAACAACAGGTTACTTCATCAGTACCTCAGCCTTACCATCTGATGTAAACACTTTTATTTATTCCCCCTCTGTAAAAAAGTTACAGACCCCTGCTTTGTACATTAAAGTTAGCAGAGCTGCTGAGGCTGTTTAGCCATTTGAATCGGGTGTGAGGAGCAAAGGCCGCCTCTAAAAGTTTGAGACCGCTGGTGGAAGATTGTCCTTTTTGAAATTGCTGTTATACTTAAACAGACACTAGATTCAGCTGTAGGTAGAAAGTAAACATTCTTCCTTTTTTTTTTTTTTTTTTTTTTGTTTCTCAGGTATTTTGCATTTTGTGAAATTAAAGCGGAAGTGTGACGAGCTGAGATTAGCTGCTTAATTAGCTGGGGTAGCTGCCTGGGTACTGAGCTGCAGATTTATCTACTAAAGCACATGCTAACTTTTTTTTTTTCTTTTTCCTTGTTTGGACCATTTTGTGTAAAATGACTTGTAAAAAAAGAAGACAGCTGATGGCTGTTTTTCTCTGACCAGATCAGATTATTTTGTCTTCATTTAAACTGATGTCACTGTTTACTGTCTGAGCATTCATGCTGGCCTGTTGAAAGTTGCTTCTATCCAACGTCTGAATATTAGGAAATGAAAAAGATAACTTGTTGAACAGAAAGTCCTGTCCCGACTTTGAGGTTTCTGCTCCTTTAAACAGTTTATGCATTAGGATACTAGGTGTGGAACTCAGTGTCCTGCTGTATCAACATGGGATAAGTTATTTCTCCTGTAAAGTTGCCTTTTTTTTCTTTTTCTTTTTGTTAGAGCTGCAACCAACGATTTTTTTGAAAATAGATTAACATGTTCAGTATTTTTCTAATAATCGATTCATAATTGGATAGCCAAAGGGTTTTTTTTTTTTTATATAAAAGTAAACCAGGTGAAACAAAATGTTCCACTTGAGGAGTTCTGGATAGAGCATATTGACGGAAAAAATAATATTTTTATTTTAAATGCAAAGTGTATATAAAATATATATACAGGGGGATATCTGAGGGAAGTAATTCTTTCTGTAGACGCCACGTGTTCACAGGGAAAGCCTAACTTAGTCTATTTCACTGCAGCACACAATGCAGTGTGGGTGTGATGACTCTAAGGCAGCACATGACACAGATACTACAAAAGATGTTACAGAGAAAAGCCCTTCAATTCCTCAAGTGTTTAGCTATGAGAGACACATCGTTCACTTCAATAATAAGCCACCTATTGGAGGCTTTGCTGGGTATTCAAATCAATAAAATTATTAGGGTAACCACATTTTTGCACCTGTCAAGTTTTGTTTTAATGTGTATTGCACATTTTCTGTTAGTCCAATAAAACTGAAATCCTTACTGAAATATTACTTTGTCCATCAGTTAATAGATATATTAAACTGAAATAGCTGTTGCAAACATCCAAATATTTAGAAATAAAAATTGTTAAGAATAATAGGGGTGCCCAAACCTTTTTATATGACTGATTAGGCAAGAACTAAAGGAAATCAACAGGCATAAGAAAATCCAAACATTGTTTTATTTAAAGATTATATAAATATGATAGATGTTTCTCTTTATTAAATAAAAATTTTTGGACTTCTCTTTAAATATTGTGACTTTCCATGATCCTCGTGTTTAAAGAATTAAATAACAAATCCTGATGGACGTGTCTGCAGAGGTCTGAACTTCCAATTTAGGATGTCCATCGTCACATCCTCACAGTCTCCTGGCCATCCTTCTTCTGGTCTGGATGTTCTGATTAAAGCTCCAGCAACTCAAGGCCTTTGCTGTCAAACTAGCTAATCCTCTGGTTTTACTTTGGTCTTTTGCAGAATACGCAGAGAGCATTGGAGATGGAAAGAGCGAGGAGTTCAAAGAAGCTGAGCGGAAGAGGATCATGGACCTTGCGGACAACTTTTAATCTTTCTTTCCCACACAGACGGAGAAACCCATCCAGGCAGACAGATTAGTTACATTCCAGACAGGTGAAGCCAAACTTTACTAAAACAGAAAAGAAAAAATAATCAAAAATGTCCTGTAAAGAATTGAAGTAGGGGTAGCTTTTCTCTTTTTGCCTCAATCTCTCACACTGAAACTGAATATATGCAATCCGTCTGCTTAAATAAATAATCATTGATTAAATTGTTTGCTCAGACAACTAGCTCGACCGAAACAGAAAACCAACATGATTACATCTCCTCCCCCATTTAACCTGTTTGTTTTTTTGAATTTAGCTGTAAACTATTTTCTAATAAAACACTTGGTATTAAACTCCTGCCTCCCTGTGCATCTTTTTTTTTTATTAATGTCACGGTTTACAAAGTGAGACGTGCGCTGCGTCCTGATAGTCTGCACGCATGAATCTCATTACATTCCCCTTGATTATTGTTGCACAGCGAGCAGCGGCGCAGGAGAGCGGGGAGCTTCGTTGGCAGATTTCCTCGCTGCGTGAGAATCCTCAGAAACCCAACCTACTTGTGCTGGTTTTTCTGGGAACCCACCCACGGATGGATCTCAGCAGTCTCCCCCCAAGCTCTCGTCTCACTCCTGCCTCTCTTTGTGATGCGGCTCGCGTCGATGTGGGGGTGTATTATAGTACAGCTGTATACACAAACAAATCCCCTGTTATTCTGCCTGCCTTGTGTACCAGACTATTTGATCTGTGCTTTCTTTACACTTTGAAGCCAAAAAAACACATTTTAATTACTGTTGCTTTAGAAATCAGTACAGTGTAGATATTTATATAGATTCCACCCACTTAAACTTGTTTTAGTATCTATTTTTAGTCAGAACCTTTACTTCCTCCTGACATCAGGCAGATTTTAGTGTCCTTTGCTAAATATATAAAGATGAGATTTAATTTTATCAGAGTGCAGAGAGCTTCTTGATCAGAGAACCGGTTCCCTGCTGTCACCAATAAGCAGCTAGTGGTGCTGCTCTCCGTCTGATGCTTGACTTTCTGACCCAGCAGCAGAAGCGAAGCTTCATTACTGTAACTGGAAAGGTGGTTCTAGATGGAAAAGATGCACTTAACCTATGTAGTTTTACTGATCTAAGTTTAGATTTCCATTTTCTACAATGATATTTTAAAGGTGTTTTTCTATTCTTTTTATATTTTCTCATTAACGCATTAAACGCAATAACAAGTATAAATTCCATTTATAACAAAATTTCTGAACTAAAAGTGGAAAAATTCAGGATAAACACGCTCTTCTCATTCTAGTCTGAATTGTTTGGCAAACAGAAAATTCAGTACAGAAAAATTACTGTGTCCCAGAGATTGCAGTTTTTCATTTTCTAAAAGACCCCCCCCACACACACACACCACCGCCACCACCATTTTTTATTATAAAAAATGTTTATATAAACATTTTTTATAATAAATTTTTTTATATATAGAAACACATTTTTATTATTAAAAAATGTTTTTTATATATAATATATAATAAAATAAACATTTTTTTATATTATAAAAAAAAAGTAAAAAAAAAAAAACGTACTCCGAGAACTCACGCTGCGGTTTGAAAGTGTAATTGCTAGTTTAACTGGTGTTAGAACAGGAACCGTGCTTCAAAGCACAGTTTCTGATTTAAAGGTTTAAAACCCTTTATAGGGCAAGTCACCGTTTTTGATTACTTGCATACTGCTTACAAATGGAGCCCCCCCCCCGTCCCTCAGTGAGGTCTAGAAGCACAAGATCTATATCCAGCCATTCAGCAAAGATGCTGCTACATGGCTGTGTATCTTATTTTGGCATTTGACCAATTAGATGAGCCCTTGAATGATATATTACCTACTGTAAATTAAGTTGAAAAAGTGAAGAAAAAAGTTAAAAAGTTTAAAGTAATTCTAGTTAACAATTAAATTTAGGTTAATAAAACTAAAAAAATGTACCGGTAAGTGCCGGTATCAGCATTATTGCCTCTAAGGTTATGTTGTACAAAAAAACCCTGTTTCTTTCTGAGTGTTTTTCATGAATTTCTTATAGAAGCACTTTTGTTATTTTTTTTTAAATATATTTGGGTGAGTTGGCCTTTTCTTGATATTACATTGACATTCATTTTTGCCATCAAATACCCATATTTTTTTAATGTTACAAAGGTAATAAGGTCTTGTCCTTGGCTTGACATTTTGATTTTCAAAGTATTTCACTGAGTGTCCTATAAAGGGTTAAGCATAATACATTTTGAAATTAAAATAAGCTAAATAACTTTTTAAGGCAAAAACTAATGAAACAAAACTCTACCTTTAAATTCATGATTTGTGGAACTTGCTCATAATAAAACCTGACCCCTGTAGAAGTATTTCTTTTCATTTATTTTTGTAGTTAGATGTTGAGTAAATCTAACTAATCTAAATTACGGAATAATAGGATTTTAAGGATTCCTGAAAGTTGGAATTGTATTGCTAAGACCTAAACAAAGTTTTAGAATGATACATTGGTGAATTTTGTTAGCTTAGCTCTAATAACTATAAATCTCAATGTAGTGGAGCATTCCCTTCAGACTCCAAACCTTAACTAGACATCTGCAAAAGTGATGCCAGCATTTCATAATCCCAACTTTTTCTTTATCAAGAAAAATACCCTACCCTCCATATCAGATCTTCATGTGCAACAACATAAGATGACTCACAGCGGCACATTACTAACTCACCAGATAATTGCAAACCCATTCCAGCGCCGGGTAAATGCATAAAAGAAAGGAACTTGTGCATATAGCAAACTCCTCAAACTTTCTTCAGCTGATTCAAAATAAACCTGAATAATTTTTGGACCAAAGGAAGAGTGATCAAAAGGTAATCTACCTCGAAACCAATCCGGCTCTAAATCTTGGCGTAATTATGGAGTCCGACCTGAACCTTCAGAGGCTCATCAAGACAGTAACAAATCTTCAGGATTAATGTATCAGCAGGACCTTAAAAATATAATGCATGCATTCATTTTTATTAGCAGTGATAACAGAACAGTTTCTTCAGAGGACTGCCTTAAATGTCTAAAACAACAGCAGCAGGTGATCCAGAGTGCTGCTGCCTGCATCCTCACTAAAGTTACAATAGTGGAGCACATCACCTCAGTTTGAAAAACACCCCACTGCCTCCCAGTCTCTCATAGTAAATAAACTACTTCTACAGTATAAGTCACTGAATGACTGAGCTCCTAAATACATTACAGACTCGTTGTCAGTGGATCAACCACCCACACCTCTCAGGTCTTTTATCTTAAATCTACTTTGCTTACACATAACCAAACATGGCGAAGAAGCCTTTTGTCTTAATGTTCCACTAATCTGAAATAAGCTTCCAAAAAAAAAAATAATAATAAAATTAAACGCAAAAACATCACAATCCCTTATGTTGCTGGAGTGTCTGAAAAGCTCAAGAGGATTTTCTCCAAACACAAGATCCCAGTACATTTCAAGCCAAACCAAACCCTTAAACAGAGGCTAGTGCATCCTAAAGATAAAACCCCCAGACCGAATATGAGCGGAGTGGTATATGCTGTTCAGTGCAGCGAGGAATGCTCTGATCTTTATATTGGCGAAACAAAACAACCTCTCCACAGACGCATGGCCCAACACAGAAGAGCGGCCGCCTCTGGACAAGACTCCGCAGTACACCTACACCTTGTGGACAAAGGACATTCTTTTGAGGACCAGAATGTCCATATTCTGGATAAAGAAAATAGGTGGTTTGAGAGGGGCGTGAAGGAAGCCATCTATGTTAAGAGAGAAAAACCAACTTTAAACAGAGGTGGTGGACTCAGATTCCAGCTTCCAAAAACATACAATTCAATCATAGACATGATCCCTTCCAGATATCACCAAACCCCCCACCCCATCACAGAGGAACAAGGGACCTACCCGCCCCAGCCGGTGAACAATACCTCCTTAACGACCAACCCTTAACAATCATAGACAGGTTTCAGGTATTACAGGAGACAATCCCCCCCCTTAATGGCAATCCCCCCTTTAACGACCGACCCCTAGAATCATAGACGGGTTCAGATATTACAGGCTAACGATGGAACTAAACGACCCATTTATCGGTTACCATTGCATGTTTCCAAGCAATACGAGGCCTTGTCCATATAAGACTCCAACTCACTGCGGTTCCAGACATTTGAATTGAGAAAGCTTCCTGGAGAGGTGGCGAAACGTCTTCAAATCTTGAAAACCAAGTCCAGTGGATATTTTTAAAATTTTTACGGAAAGCTTCCAAAAACCTGTAAAATCTCTGAAACCCTCAGTTGCTTTGAATCATAACCTACGTCCATAGAGTAGCCTTTGATATTGTAACATCTAAACACAATTAGTTAAGATTTTAATCCAACTTCCCTTTCATTTTTTATCATTTTATTTTTGTTTATTATTTATTATAATTACTTATTATTAATCAACTTCTCTTTTATTTGTCATGTGTAGCGCTTTAAATCAAATGGTGCCTAATAAATAAATGTGCCTTGCTCATTCTGTTAAACTTCCTGTTGTCTGTAGGAGAGAGTGTCAATCAGTCGGTCACTGTAGCCAGTTTAACATAAGGTTCTCCTAGTTGGGTCCACATTGACGTTTTATTGAAGAAGTTTCTTTTATGTCTGATTTTTGGTAGTGACAGACCTTCATAGAAAATAAAAGCTCCTTTTAAATAGCTTCTTCCATCAGACCGGATGCCCTTAGTGCAGGAGCTGGTGTTTCAGGATTTTGTCCTAAAATTCATCACTCAGTTTTTCATTTATTATCCCATTTTGTGGCTGTTTGTCCAAACATCTTTGGGGCTCTTTTACATTTATAAATCAGATTGTTTTAAATTTTTTTGTGCCTCATCTTTTGTGTTGTGAACATCTGTATTAAGCTCTCATTTAGCACATGAAGCCCTCTGTGGTTAAGGATTTTTGGCAGCGAGCAGCGGTGCTGGAAGGGAACAGGGGATACTCGTTGACAGATGTCACATCTGCTTCCTCTGCTAAGTGTCTTCAGGAACTAATATCGCTCAGTAACAAGATGGGGAGACCAGTGGGGTGTCGGCTGCATACCGTATCGGCGGAGGAGGAGGAGGTGCGGCCCTGTGCATCTCTTATCAGTGATTATGACTGCGGCGTGTTTAACAGCGGTCGTACAGCAATTTCACAGCCGAGGGGAAGGGGAATAATTGTATTTTCCAAATGACTGAGTGCAAACAGTGTACCACTGTGCACTTGGGTTTGTCTCTTTTGGTCGACACTGAGAGGAGAAGGCAGTCTTTTACTAATGGCAAGGAGGGAAGTAATAAAATGG